CCCAGTCATGTTGTGAAAAAAAAAATGTTGATTATATTAGCCTTTTATTATCAATAGTGATTTTAAAACTTTTAATATAGGAAGTGCTCTGCTATTATTAATCAGAAGTTGAATGTACATAGTTTCACGTTTGAAAATGCAATCTTGAATTTACAAACAGTCGGCAAGTACCAGAGAACAGAAGTAGCACATTGATAAAATTTAGTTTCCAGTCACACTTATGTCAAAGTAATATTCAACTCGTTTAGTTTTGCTTTCATTTGTTTTTGTTTTCAGTAGTGACATAAAGCACAAGTCTTCAAACACATGATTTTTTACAACATGTTTTATTAACTAACTATAGGACGCCGATGGTTAAACCTAGGATTTAGGAGGAAAAATGCGTTTTTTGTCCAAGCTTTGGTAGACTGGACCAGCTCCATACCAGGGTGCTCGAGGGTTCATGGGAGTATGCCCAACCAGTCCACATGTGTTTGTGGACTTAGAGAAGGCATTCAACTGTGTCCCTCGTGGCATTCTGTGGAGAGTGCTCTGAAAGTATGGGATCAGAGGGCTGTCTCATCCCTGTATGAACAGAGTAGGAGTCTGGTTTTGCAGGGCAGGGCTGGTTTTTGTCACCAATTCACAATTTTTATAGACAGAATTTCTAAGCACAGCCTTGGGCTGGAGGTGGTCTGGTTCGGGGACCACAGGATCTCATCGCTGTTATTCGCAGACTATGTTGTTCTGTTGGCTTCATTGAACATGGACCTTCAGCATGCACTGGGGTGGTTTGCTGCAGAGTGTGACGCGGCTGGGATGAGAATCAGCACCTCCTAGTCCGAGGCCATGGTGCTCCACTGGAAAAAGGGGATTTGCCATGTCTAGGTTGGCAGAAAAGTCTTTACCCCAGGTGGAGGAGTTCAAGTATCTTGGGGTTTTGTTCACGAGTGAGGGAAGGATGGAAAGTGAGATTGACAGGTGGATTGGTTCAGTGGCAGCAGTAATGTGGTCAATGTACCAGTCCGTTGTGGTGAAGAGGTGAACTGAGCCGAAAGGCAAAACTCTCGATTTACAGGTGAATCTACAATGCTACTCTCATCTATGATCATCAGCTTTGGGTCATGACCGAAAGGACAAGATCTCAGAAACAAGCGGCCAAAATGAGTTTCCTTCTGAGAGTGGCAGGGCGCACCCTTATAGATTGGGTAAGAAGCTCTGTCACCCGGGAGGAGCTCGTAGTAGAGCCGCTGCTCCTCCACATCAAGAGAAGAGCTGAGGTGGCTCGGGTGTCTTTTGCGGATGCCTCCTGGACCCCTACCTAGTCAGGTGTTTCAGGCATGTCCCACCGGGAGGAGACCTTGGGGAAGACCCAGGACACGCTGGAGGAACTATGTCTCTCGGCTGGCCTGGGAACATCTCAGGATCCCCCACAAAGGATCTGGAGGAAGTGTTTGGGGAGAGGGAAGTCTTGGGAGCCCTGCTAAGACTGCTGCCTCCGCGACCCGGTCCTGGAAAAGCGGTTGAAACTGAATAAATGAATGAATGAATTTTTAAACATAATATGTTAACTAATTTCTAATAACTACTTTTAATATGTAATAATATAATATTTTACTATTTCCCAGAGATGGGTTGCAGCTGGAAGGGCATTCACTACGTAAAACATGTGCTGAATACGTTGGCGGTTCATTCCGCTGTGGCGACCAAAGATTAATAAAGGGACAGAGCCGAAAAGAAAATGAATAAATAAATAATATTTTACTAGTTATTTTGCAAGATAGTTGTATTCAGATTAAAGTGTAATTTAAAGACTTAATTAGGTTATGTTAACTAGGAAAGTTAGAATAATTAGTCAAGGTGTTGTTTTATTGTGTAGACAATCAACAACAAAAAAATTTGCTAAGCAGTTTAATAATACTGACTTTAATTATTTTTTTAAAAAACTGCTTTTATTCAAGACAAACTATAAGAAATAAGACTTATTATGACTCCAGAAGAATTATTTTTGTTTAAAGGGAATACTCTGAAAATCTCTTTGGTTTGTTAAAGTTCACTTGGGAAGCATTAATGTAAATTAACGGGAGGGAAAAAATGCACTTCAACTGTATTTGTTAAAGTTTACTTTAAAGGTGCAAAAATGTGCCTTGATGTACTCAAATGTTAAAAATATGTTATCCTACAATACAAAGTTACTTGTCAAATAAATTAACAAATAAGATTATTTTGAGTTTAAGTTATTTGATTAGCTTATGAGAGTGATACATTAAAAAAAGACTTTGAATAACTGTTAAAGTAGTTTGTTTCATAAAACATTTTATACTGATGTTTGGCTCAATAAAACCTTTTGTAACATTGCAAAACTTACAGTGACTTGAGATCAGTTTATAGAACCCTTGCTTATTAAAAGTATTGCTGTTGTTGTTATTATACATTTTCCAATGGTCCTGCTGACCTCAAACATACAAACTGTAGTGTACTGTACATGTTTTTCTTCAATACACAGTTTAACAAATTTTAATGCTTCATTTCAAGGAGAAACGAAACAAACAAACTGATGACTCATCCTGGACTACACAGATGTTTGCTAGATCAGATGCTGACTTGGGTCTCTTGCAAATCATAGTTCAAGGATTGTGATTGGAATTTATGTATTTTTTTTACGAGACAAAAAGTTCTGCTTCTAGATTCAGTAGGAAATGTGTCTACACAGAAAAGAACGCTGCACTCATAAAACTTCACAGGGTCTTAAACGTCACAAATAGTATTATTTTACTTCCATAAATGTGAAATTGAATATTCAACAAGAAAATGTGAAGTTTAAAGCCTGATCTTTTTTGTTTTTGTTTTTTATTGGGAACTGATTGGATTGTAAGATGTTGGTAATTTTGACCAATAAGCATAGTCCAGGTTTTGTTTACACCTGGGTAACAGATTAGTATTTGGCAGCAGTGGCTCTAGTGGCACTAAATTCTACAGATGATGGCAACAACACTTTGTTTGGTAATGCTGCAAAATTTTGATTTTACAGGTTTTATCCCTTAGAAATGCACAATTTACAGTAGCTTAAGTTGAGAGTAAAAGGTACGCAAGTTTCTTTTTATTCTCATTAAGAAAAACAGTACCATCTTCACCAATTATTCAAGAAACAGGAATTTTCAGAAATTCTTTTAATGATTCTCATTGAAAACGCTTGGTTAAGCCTACATGTTTGTGTAACCACAAAAACATACTTCAACATACGTTTGACTGCAGTTTCTAGGTAAAATGAACACTATGTGGCAGTATGATGCCAACAACTTGTTCCTTTCCACACTATTTAAAGGGATGTATTGTTGACAAATAAAGGATTATTTTCATGCAGATCTATGCACAACACCAAATAAAAGCCCCAAAACAACTTAAAGGTGAAGTCCTGCCTGCTCCGGCCAGTGGTCCTCAATCTTTTTATTACCGCGAACCAGTCAATACTTTGACAATTTGGGGTGGACGACCATCAACCACTTTTTTTCAGAGGAACAAGCTGACAAAACATTGCTGTCACTAGGCATGGGACGATAACCATTTCAAGGTATACCGCGGTTTGGAAAAACCAAGGTTTTAAAACCGCCAAAATTTTCTTCTAAATTTTTTAGCAAAACAGTATCTCCAGCAGAAAATATATTCAAAGTTGTCGTTTTAAATTTTAAAGAAATCAGTGTTTTTGAAACAAATGAAGACAGCAGAAGTCAATGATTCATTTTCATTATTCAGCCTGACATGTTTAACGCTCCAAAATATTTTTATATAAATATAGTTTGTTCTAAGGGGAAAATGTTATAGTTTTTTTACTCAGACATTTAAAAAGCATATATTTTAGAGCAGTACTCACGATACCGTGTAACCGTATCGTATTTTTATACAAGGTTATCATACCATCAGAATATTTTACCAGCCCATGCCTAGCTGTCACTCATACAAGCTTTATTTATAGAGAAAAATTATTACAAAGCACTGCAGTGTTTGGGTATTCTGTGTTTGTCTGAGAAATTTAGTCTAGCGAAATGTGCATATTAGGTATGGGGCGATAACCGTTTTCAAGGTACTGTTGAAGTCAGAATTATTAGACCCCCTTTGAATTTTTTTGAAGTTTGTCTGATATTTTTTTGTCTTTTGGAGAAAGTCTTATTTGTTTTATTTCGGCTAGAATAAAAGCAGTTTTAAATTTTTTAAAAACCATTTTAAGGTCAAAATTATTAGCCTCTTCAAGCTATATTTTTTTTTCCGGAAGTCTACAGAACAAACTATCGTTATACAAAAACTTGCCTAATTATCCTCACCTGATTTGTTGACAAATGGGTTGTAGATCCATTCCTTGGTACACTGAAAAAAAAATATTCAAAGATAATTCCTTGGATTTACTCAATTTTTTACGTTAAGTGGTTGTAAACAATTTATTTGAGCTGAATTTAAACTATTAAGTTAAACATTATTTAATTTAATTTGTTTGTTTAAATTCAACACAAATAAATTGTTTGCAACAGTTCTGCATGCAACACCTTTTTCAGTGTAGTTTGTGGGTCCTTCACAGGGCCTTTTCCCCTTAGCAAAGAAAGAAACCTTTCCCCACGGAAAGGTACTGGTCTGTGGCCCAGTGGTTGAGGACCACTGCCCTAAGTGACGTATTTCAGATTTGCAAAAAGATAGACAGTGCCCTCTAATGTATTTGTTATCTTTAACTTGCAATGTTACATACGAATAGCAATGAAATTGACGAAAATGTAAGCTGGGGCACATATTTCAGCTGAGCTTGAGATGGATTGATACCTTAAATTTAGTGCAGTCCAGTTATTTCTTCTGAACCCTTTTTAGATCACATTTGAAAATGCTTGTTCCATTCACATCACCAGCACTCAATGCGAAAATAGGCTCTTTTGTGGACAAAAAAAGGGATTGCTCCATCCTATTTTCTTGGAAATGGAGAGACGGTTACTGGAAATGTGGGTGAATGAGTCATGGCTTACCATGTGCTGTGTGTACAGAGCAAAGAGCTGCCATGATCTGACAGGCGGGAGAGGCGGGAATGAGCACGTGTCCTGAACGCCACATCTGCACCTCATCAGCAGTCCTGCCTGCCCTTCTGGAGCAGTGCCATCCCACCGCTGCAGTGTAGGATGACGAGGACGCAGGCAGACTCCCATTATTAGCATCAGGAAAAGGGGAAGTCACATTATGTAACTGTGGATACAGTGTTTCAGTATAGCAGATTTGATTAAACCTGATAGTCCTGATGATCTTGGAATATAAGTTTTGGAAATAAGTGGCTCCGCAGACTAGATTTAAAGAACAAAACCTCCTGGATTGTGTCCTGTTTATAGAAACAGGTGTGTGGCTGCTCTGTTCCAGTAAACCTGTCTGAGCCTGCTGAAAGAGTTTCCTTAAAAATGAAAGCACTAGATATTGAAATGAGTTTAGTTTTCCTGAAAATGCTTCAAAGTGGTTTGGATTTATTTTGATCTTTAGTATTTTTAAATATTGCAGAACCTAAAGATGCTAGTAATAATTACCAACAAGACTTTCGATTATTACAAATAAACACCTGATATCCCTCTCGTGCATTCTTTTTTGACTGATTCATTCAATAAACCCGCAGTTCATTATTCCACTCCCACTACAGTTGTCAAACTTTAAAGCAATATTCATCTAAAAACTTAATCTAAAAATTCACTTACTCATTTACTCTCCTTCAATTGCCCCTGGCCCGTTTGAGTTTTTCTTTATTCTTCTTTCAAGCCAGTTTGAGTTACCTGTTTTCTTAGACATAGACATACTCATAAACATGCCCTTACTGTTTATACTTTTTGTAACCAATAAAGCCACTTAATTGTAAATACTTTTATATAAATATCTTAATTTCTTAATTGCACAGTTAAAAAATTAAGCAATGTACATATTGTTCATAAAACATCTAGATGTGTATTTATAGAACTTTATCATTTTCATTGTTTATTTTCCACTTATTATTTAAAAGTGCAGTAGGTGGTTGAAAGTCTCTTCACATTCCAAAAGTAATGATTGAAGTAAATGATTTAAATGTGTTTATATGTATTTTTATATTCTGGGTAAGGCATAAGACTAAAAAAATGTTCATCCAATTAAAATTTGCCGGGCCGACAATTCCTATAATTCTGCACCGTGAACCCTAAATATTTTTACTTAAAGGTGCAGTAGGTGATCTGCCAAAATGCTAACCGCTTAGCATATCTTTGGACGGCGTGGAGGGACTGTGATTCAAAGCCACACCCCCTGACATCGCGTCACAACAGCAGACAGACAACCCACTAGTTTATGTCATTCGCCAGTTAGTAAATAGCGATATTCTGCCTTGCCTGCTTTACCGAAGTGAAGTTGGTTTTATATTCACATGACATTGGTTAATTTTTTAACAATAATAACCTGTGGTGCACTTCCTATATTGTTTACCATGCTACTTTAAATAGTCGGTCTAACATAGCATGTAAGTATGGCTCAGTAATAAGTGTAATTCCTGCATGCTCTCTGTAAATTGCACTACATAATCAAAAATGGCACATCTATACAATACAATAATAAAAATATCAGTTTTTAAATAATAACCAAGATCAAAATAAATAATAAAAATTGTGAAACATACAAGAACATACAAAACAACTTATCAAAACAAAGTACTGTCAGTTTTATATTTCCTTTTCAGATGCACTGTTTAAGGCCCAATCCCAATTCTACCCCTTAGCCCTTCACCTTACCCCTCATTTTGTGTGAAGGGGTAGGGGTGTCCCAATTCTCTTTAGCTTGAAGGGGTAGATAGGCCTTTGAACTGAGATTTTTCAGGGCCACACGCGAAGGGGTAAGAAAATTTCCCAGAATACACCAGCCACAGCAGCAGGATAGGTGCACCCGGAAGTAAGGAGATCCACAAATTATAGTATTTTATAGTATTTTAAATAATAGTATTTTTGTCATTATTACAAATTTTTACAGCAAATATGTTTTAATATATTCATAACCACATTCGTGTTTTACCATCTTGCTAAAATAAAAAGCGCTAAATTTTGCTATCTATAATCCATAATAGAAACTCCCGTACAGCAGTCCCACAACATTCTGACACTCAATGACACACAAAAACCCTGTCAGAAAAGTTTAGTGGCAGGGAATGAGCTTTTTACAGTGTCTGCTATAATGTTAATGTTGCTTTTGGTGTGTTTACATTGATGAATATGTAAATGTGCAGTATAGTTACAAGCTTATTGCCACGTTAGATTGTTATGATACCATATTATATGCCTTCAGCGATATCCTGAAAACAAAACGCAAAAAATAACACAACTGGAATAACTACAGCAGTCCCGATCGTCTGATCTTATATAAAGCATCAGATCACGAGGACGTATGATGACGTGTGCAGCTGCTGTAGTGCTGTCCCATTTCTAAGGGGTACATTTTAAAGCCCTTTCCCTTTACACTCGGTTTTAAGGACTAAGAGGAAGGGGTAGGGGTACAAAAATAGAATTGGGATTGGAGCATCTGTTGTATTTTCCAAGTATTTCAGCTTGTACTGGCAACACTTAAAAAATGTCATGTTTGTCTGTCTGTATTTTTTTTTTCAAATACAAAATATTTCATTTTGTTTTATTTCTTCTACATCTGCTACTGCTGCTTTGTTTCTTGACTATCTGGAGCACAATGTTGTGCTTCACCCCTGTGAAGTATTCTTTTAATCTCATCCAAATCAAATAGTGTTTTTCTCACATGAATGTGGTAAAATTACAGTGCAAATTATTTACAGTTATCTGGCAACTTTCAAGGTTTTTCTGAGAAATCAGTTCCTGAATGAAAACGTCTGTTATCTCTTTTTTTCTTCTTGACCTTCGTTGAATTCTGTAACTAATAACTACATTTCTTGTTACACCACTTTGTACACCTGACCTTGTTTACCACTGGCATCCCAGTAATACAGTCTTTGTTTGTTGTATCAATGAACTTCACTTTTTAAATTTGTAATGAAATGGAATTGGGGCGACGTGGTGGCGTAGTGGATAGCACGATCGCCTCACAGCAAAAAGGTTGCTGGTTCGAGCCTCGGCTGGGTCAGTTGGCATTTCTTTATGAATTTGCATGTTCTCCCCGTGTTTACGTGGGTTTCCTCCGGGTGCTCCAGTTTCCCCCACAAGTCCAAAGACATGCGCTGTAGGTGAATTGGGTAAGCTAAAAGTGGCCGTGATGGGTGTGATTGAGTGAGGATGGGTAGGGCATCCGCTGCGTAAAACATATGCTGGATAATTTAGCGGTTAATTCCGCTGTGGCGACCCCTGATGAATAAAGGAACTAAGCTGAAAAGAAAATGAATGAATGAGTTTTAGTCCTCTGTTAGATAAATACATTTTAGTCATTTCCATATATTCTTTTTTTTATCACTTTTATATATGTATATTTTAAAGAAACACAAAGTTAATGTTTTAGATGTATGCACTTTTTAATATAATCACATGCTCAACTGTAGTTTTTAGTCAAGTAAATGGTTGGAATGCGCCAGTTGCAGGAATATTGTGCAGACAATGATCTGATTACATGATCAATCGGATTCTACCAAACAAACTGTTTAGACCAATGATTAAAGACAATGCTTCATCATCTGTTTGCATGCCTGTATAAAAACTGGCCTCGAATAACTGCTCTTTGGGCAACCAGAATGGAACCTCCTTGTGTGTTTCTTCTGTATTATTGACTTGCTACAAAAACATAAAAATCTCAGAAAATGAATCTTCTTGAGTCTTGGAATATTTTTTGATCCTGAGATCTTCTTAAAGGCACAATACATCTAAAAAAATACCACAGACCTTTTTGAATTCTAATGCAAAAGAAAATATTATGAAAAATGTTCTATAGATAATAGATAGTAGACATCCAAAGGAGGAAAAAATAAATACTATTGAGGCTTAAAAATATCTTCTTTTGAGTTCAACTGAAGAAAGAAGTTCAAACAGGCCAGGAACATGTGGAAAGCATGTAAACGATGACAGAATTTTCAGTTCTGTGTGAACTATCTCTTTAATCCCAGCCTCACATGCAGATCTGTCTCCATCCAACCAAGAGCCAGTCCTGTCCTACAGTGTTTTTCCTTTTTGAATAATGTATATTGCTACTTGTGATACTTTGTTGCTTTAACTTCTACATTTCTCAATATTCACTTAATTATTTCAGACCACACGTCCAGTTCGTTTTATAATCCCATTCCTCTCTGAATAATGTCAAACTGAGAGTTCCTGAGAGCCACCAGAGTTTCAGTGTTTTATACGTGAGCGTGGATGTTTATGTTTATACGTGTGAGCTTGTGTGGTCCCCGTAAACATTTAACTACAGCCAAACACGTGTTTCTTGCTGAGAATGTGACTGGATGAGTCATGTGGGATGAATGAAGCACAGGGCTCTTCTTTAGTGTGTGTGTGTGCACCTTGTATTCCTATGTTTTGGAGACCAAATGTCAATAGCAATACCAGTAAATTATTTACCTAGTGGGCATTTTTTTGGACTCCATGTGGAAATTAGCTCATAAATCATGCAGAATCATTCATTCATTGGTTAATTTTCTTGTCGGCTTAGTCCCTTTATTAATCCGGGGTCGCCACAGCGGAATAAACCGCCAACTTATCCAGCAAGTTTTTACGCAGCGGATGCCCTTCCAGCCACAACCCATCTCTGGGAAACATCCACACACACGTTCACACACACATTCACACACACACTCATACACTACGGACAATTTAGCCTACCCAATTTACCTGTACCACATGTCTTTGGACTGTTGGGAAAACCGGAGTACCCGGAGGAAACCCACGCGAACACGGGGAGAACATGCGAACTCCACACAGAAACGCCAACTGAGCTGAGGCTTGAACCAGCGACCCAGCGATCTTCTTGATGTGAGGCAACAGCACTACCTACTGTGCCCTATGCAGAATCATGCATTATGAAAATGGAAAAATGCAGATTGTTTCCTGTGAGGGTTGGGCTTAGGGGTATGGTTGGGGTTGGTAGATAAAAAATATACAGGCTTTATTATATAAAAGTCGTTAAATCTATGGCAAGTATCAGTGAAGATAGATGTATGTGTATGTGTAAGTGCTGATGTCCCCATTTTCAAAAAAAGCTGTTTGAAAGTTTTGAAAGTTGGCTCTTCTAAAGCATAAAAAATATCATAATCTGTTTGCAGATATTTAAGAAATATGCCAAGTAAACATTCTTGTTTATCAACAAGTTAGATAATCTGCTTTGAAAGTGTGCATTATGTGCCTGAACGTCTGTTTTGTTTTTGACATTCATTCAGTCAGGAAGGCTCTCAAAGTGTGTGCCTGCAACCGAAATGCGACCTCCGGTGGACAGTTGCAGTGTCCGAAATGATATGCAGATTCAGTGTTCCACATGTGATGGTTATAAATGAGCAAATATTATAAATATTACTAACGTAAACATTGAGGGCTCTATTTTGATTGTCCATGCGCTGAGCGCAAAACGCAGGGCGTAAACGCTTTCAGGGCGTGTCAGAATGCATTTTTGGTAATTTAAGGGTGGGAAAC